TTTTTTTTTTAAAGCACACGCGCTCCATCTATTGGTGGGGAGCAGCACCTGCTGGAAACCGGGTCCAGCGTCCCATAGATACAACCATATCCTCTCAAATTGGCACGAGCTGGGAACCGGGCCCAGCGTCCCTTGAGTACGTTCAGAAAAACCATCAGAAGAATCTCCTCTTCCTATTCTTTCTTGCACTACCGTTCTCGGCCGAGTAGAACGCACGGTCGTTATCGCTGTGTCTATGTCTAGCTTGAAATTCCCCCCCGAAATACAGCCTTAGCGACTTTGCGCTCGACTGGGGTGAAGAGGGTAGTCCTTGGTTGCCCTTGCTCGATTCCCACGAAGCTGACTATTACTACTGTTTCCCCCCAGTAGAACGCACTGTCATTATCGCTGCGTCTAACCTGAAAGTTGCCCCCAAAATACAGCTATAACGACTGCGCGTCATCGAGGTGAAAAGAAGGCAGTCCTTGGTGGTTCTCCGTCGATTCCGAAGAAGCTGAGTGTTGACCGGATTATCATATGCGTACCACTTCCAGAAGAGACCACCATAGGTCTTGCTTATCGTTGGGGCTTGAGAGCATCATGATGACTGTTGTGACGACGGTCATTATCGTCTTGTCAGCCACAGCGGCTGATGTGCTTGGACAGTTGCCTCCTGCCAATTCTGCCGCTGGTCCTGCACCACCTCCTCTTCCCCCTCCCACTATGTCGGACTCCAACCGTTCCCCCCCGGCCACCACTACTGGTGCTCTACTGGGGTCCGATCTGCCGTGCTATGTGGAACTCCTTCCAGCCTTATGTCCTTCGAAAGCGGAGGCTACGAAACCCTGCGATGAGATGTGCCGGGATGCTGTGCAGAGGGCTTTGGCTTGTCTGAATGTGAGTCGGTCCGTAGCTGCAGACGACGCGCGGTCGTTCGGCGATCAGTACTTCGCTCTCTGCCAAGATGCGGCAGACAAACTGCCCGATGCCACCGGATATAACTTCAGGGTACCTCCTTACCCCCCTCTGCCGGCCCCAGGATCCTCGAACGGCAACGACACCCTCGCGAAGGGGTCCTTGATGGGGGCTGAAGATACAAGTGCGGCTGAGAACCCCTTGGGTAGCTGCTATCGCCTCAGACACGCTTTCTCCTGCCAGCTCCTGATGCTCGTTGTGATCGGACTTGTAACCTGGTCCAGCCTGACGCCTACGGATACCGTACGGCAACACCCCCTGGCTGGCAAATGACAAGCGAAATGAAAAGTTTAAACACAAGGACTGGTGGGATAGCAAGGCAGCGAGGGGAGGGAGAATGGAGGACGGAGGAGGTGATATATCTTGTTGTACCGCTTTGCGATCCGTACCGGCAGACTGACACAACTGGTACGAGGGCAAGCAGGGGGGATGGAGAGAGGAGGAGGAGGAGGAGGAGGAGGCGGCATGGCTTGTTTCCAAGCGGTCACTCTGGCACATGAGAACAGTTCTCCTAGACAGGCACATGAGAACAGTTCTCCTACACACATGGGGGGATATGCATCTACGGCTTGATGATCTCCTGCCTCACGACGATCGGGTCAAACGCGTTGACCGATTCCTTGAGGGACAACGCAGACTGAGTCGACAGCCTCGACTAAGCATCGTTCGTTATCCACGTGAGATCACGAGGAACAGAAAAATCAATGCATGCACGTATGCATGCATACATGCATGTAGGTGTGCAGGCATGCACCTGTGCACGGATGCATGCGCGCCTGCACGTGTGAACACATGCACACATGCACGTGTGAACAGATGCCCACATGCACACATGCACGCATGCATGCATTTATGTACGTGTGCACCCATGCATAGCTGCATGGATTGATCGTGAGTGAACGACCTCTCATCTGTGTCTGAGGTGAGAGGAGGGACGAGGATGGGTGGATTTACGGAGGGATGCATTGAATGCACGGATGGATGGATATATGGCTGAGGGCCGCGCGGGAAGAAGACGCTTGAACCTCGGTGTGTCTCCGCGGAGGCACAGGACCACGCAGTGTCAAGGCTGATGTACGGTAGTCAAACCTTGTCCGGAGGAATCACACTTGGGTCGGAAGACCTAAACCCTGCTCCAGAGAATGCAAGCTGGGTCCGGAGGACTCAAAACCCTGGTCCTGAGGAATCAAACTTGGTATAGAAAATTCAACATCCTGGTCCGGAGGTATCAAACTTGGTCTGGAGAGTGCAAAACCCCTGGTCCGGAGGAATCGAAGTTGGGCGGGAGGGTTCAAAACCTGGTGCGGAGGAATCCAACTTCGTATATTCCCTCGGGACATCAGCTAACAAAAGGGGAACGATACACAAAATGGAAGATTAGCATGGCCCCTGACCAAGGTTGACACACGCATAAGTCGAGAAGAAAAAAAAAAACTTGGTACGGATGGTCCAACAACAGTTACTTGGTCCGGAGTACTCGAGCTTGGTGCGGAAGATTCAAAACTCTGGTCCGCAGGTTCGAAACCTGGTCGGGAGGAACGAAACTTGGTGCGATGGATTCAGAACCCTGGGTCGGGGGGGAATCAAACTTCGGAGGATTCAAAACCCCCTGGTCCGGGGCCAAGTCCCACTTATGGTGATCCTTTATTTGGGGCCGTTGATCTTCCGAATCTACGGTCAGAAGTTGAGATTTCGGGTAAGTGGGACTTGGCCCCCGGAGGTATAAAAACACAATTTGGCATGGAGAATTCAAAACCCTGGTCCGGAGGGAATCAAACCTGGTATGGAAATTTCAACCCACTGATCCGGAGGAATCGAAGCTGGTTCGGAGTGTTCGAAAACCTGGTCCGGTGGAATCAAAACTCGTCAGGTTCGAAGCCTGGTCAGTAGGGGGGAGCAGGCAAGCTCGGTTGGCGAATGCAAACCACGTGACTCACAAAAGAGGACGGACGGAGCTGTGTCATCACAATAGCACTGGTGTGGAGATTGGAGAGTTGCCAGGGCTGAAGGTTTTTTTTTTTTTTTTTTTTTTGACCATTGCTCGATTTATGCGTGTCATCCTTGCGCAGGGGCAATGCTCAGTCAATCTCTGTATCGTTCCAATTTTAACGGATGTCACGAAGGACGGCTAAACAATTTTGGCGTATCTTGTTTCATTATTCTATTACAATAATAATAATATAAATCATATAACATAGTAATGCTTTCGTAACAGTTTGCCCCCTCTCGTGACTTCACAGCTATTGCTTTTTTCTGAGGCCTTTGGATGGCATGGACTCCAAAGTAAAAGAGAGAAAAAGGGATTTTATATGTATATATATATATTGCGCTCTGATAACTCTGTGACGATATATATATCGTCACAAACAGAACTGCCCGGTAAACCGTAGGCAGAGAGAGAGATATATGTATATAATAATCCCTACGTGTAAGTCGTCGGGTCGCCAGCCATTGCATCGTGCTCAAATCAGGGGAAACCGAGAATACACATCCTAGCCGCTCTCCCCTGAGCAGTGCGATACCTCATGAGAGAGGGAAACGGGGGCGGGGGGTGGAGGGAAGAGGGAAGAGGCGAAGGGGGTGGAGGGAAGAGGAGAGGGGGGGCGTTCAATCCCACATCCACCGGAACAAACTCCGTTCATTTTTTTTCTATCTCGTCGCGCGTCGAGTCGTTCGTTCATTCGTTTGTTTGTTGGTTCGTCTTTTCATTCACAACCAGTTTCCGTTCACGACGCGATTCATTCGTTCGTTTATGTCTACTAATTTACAACCAGTATGTATTCCTTACTCCGTTCATTTCGTTCATTTCATTCAGTTCAGTCGTTTCATTCATTCATTCATTCATTCATTCATTCATTTTACTAGTAGTAATTCATTCATTCATTGATGAAGAATGTCTATGCTAGCTTCCACTGTTTATGATGCTGATGGAGTTTACTGCCTTACTGCTTCGACAGGAGAGGGATCTAGAAACACCATTGATTGATTGATTGATTGATAGATCGTTTGATTGATAGATCTTTTGATTGATCGATCCGTTGATTGATCGATTGATTGATTGATTGATTGATTGATTGATTGATTGATTGATTGGTAATTCATTCATTGATGAAGAATGTCTATGCTAGCTTCCACTGTTTATGATGCTGATGGAGTTTACTGCCTTACTGCTTTGACAGGAAAGGGGAGCTAGAAACGCCATTGATTGATTGATTGATAGATCGTTTGATTGATAGATCTTTTGATTGATCGATAGATTGATCGATTGATTGATTCATTGATTGATTGGTACAGCTGATATCATTGATTGATTAATACATTGATCGGTGGATCGATTGATTGACTGATCGACTTATTGATTTATTCGTTGATCGACTGGCTGATTGATTGATTGATTGGTAGACTGATTTTAATTGATTAATTGATCGACGAATCAACTGATTGATTGACTGGTCGATTGACTGGTTGATCGACTGATTGGTTGATTGATTGATACTGTTGATGTCATTGATTGATTGTATGCTTCGGAAACTGTGTATTTTTTTCTGCTGTATGATGAAAATATACGTTTTGATTATTCCAATTAGGGCTAAAAACGTACAGGCAAACAGATCAACGCACACTTCTTCCCCCGCATAGACTGCATGACCGTTGTCACTGTGCTCGGCTACTTGCTCAATACCCTTTTAGACAGGATAGGCATGCTTTCTATTCGAGGGAGCGCGGTCATTGCGGCTGGTTAACATGAAAGCATGTGGTTTCGGGCGTAGCCCTCCAATTATGTCTGTTGTCTTTCTTTGCCCACAAGCGATAAGAAGTGAAAAATTATTGTTATTATTATTATTTTTTTAAAGTGCATAATTGCAAATTTTCGTCCATCCAGCGACCAATGGATGCTTTGCTCTTCTTCTTCTTCTCTTCCGCTCTTGAGGCAAGCAACGTCCCACCAAAAAAAAAAGAAGAAAAAAAAGAAGAGAAAGGTCCCACTTACCTTGGGGATTCTCCGTTTCTCTCCGTCAACTATATGCTTGTGTGTGTAATCTATGCAGTCCAGAACCAAGGATCCAGAGCAAGTGACGACCATAATTCCTCCAAAAAAAAAAAAAAAAAATCTTCCCTTTTTGTTCTTTTCATACCTTATTACCTTGGGGAGTGCTGTTCCGATGTCTGACCCCTTTTCCTATATAGTACAAAATGAACAGACCACTCCTTGGATGGTTGTGCCTGTGTGTCTGTTTTTGCGCGCGGCGGCGGTTGCTCTTGTTGAGTGTGTGTGTTTGTGTGTGTGTGTGTGTGTTTGTGTGCGTGTGTGTGTGTGTGTGTGTGTGTGTGTGTGTGTGTGTGTGTGAGCGCGCGCGCGGTTGTGC